TCAAATGCTTTGAGGGTGAACGATTCTCCAAAAAAAAGTGCCATGTGATTTCGAAAAATGGAGGGAAGGCTGGTGGGACGGCTGACACCCAATTTATGTGCGCACAATGCGCTCCACGTCGAAGTAAGCGGGGTCAGATCGGAGAGCACAACAGGAAAATCCGCGGACATCGGCCGGTAGGCCGGCATGAATGCAGTAGAGGTGGTAGCAGACGCGGGAAGCATGCTGTCATCGCGAGTCCCACTACACAGGGCCAGCAACTCAGGCCGCTGCATGCAGAGCTTATCCGCCATCGAAATAACTTCATGCACCGCCGATGCAGACAAAATAGCTTGGGAGGGACGGCGAACGTAGGAAAAATCACCCAAAACATCGCGATGACCACCGATGCGCGTATCCTTCGCTAGGTCCCAGTCTCGCGGGCGCTTAGCAAAAGCATCGCAAGGCAGCATGCTCTACAAGGGAAGAAGCAGAAAGAGGCTAAGTCTAGATTCTCGTGGGTGGTGAGACCAAATAACACACAACCCAGGGGTTGTGAAAAAATGTGGCAACAACACACAGCAGTGGCGGAGGCCGCGTCCAGCACCCGCTTACCGTGTAATGCCAGCGGACGCCAAGTTTAAAGGAGTATAAGCCGTGGGCGGTAGCTTGCTCCTAGAGATATATGAAGGTAGGTTCTGTCGTTGACACGCTTGTCCACGACCACGTTGAGATGGGAAGGTTGCTTGTTATTGCTGAGAGACGATCAGCAAGGGTCTGAGGTTGAGGGCGATCTGCCCTCAACCTAGGGGACACGCAGACAGCTAAATCCCGATGGGGTACGTCCTAGGGGGCACGCAGATAGCTAAATCCCGATGGGGTACGTCCTATGAGGATATACCTACTGACGTCCCCCATCATGATCTACACCGACAGTGTACTCTATCTGTGCCGTACAGCAACACTCCTTAACATAACATTGTTTTTGATTCGCGTTTCCTGTCGTTTCCTGTCGTTTTGGGCCGAGTTGTACCCTTGGGCGTCAGTAGCTATTTATATATTTATATCGTATGTACAGTATATTCCATCCGTTGAGCTCGTGTTGTGTTCGTTTCACATCAATAGGTAGTTTGTTTGTCGACTGCCCTATGGGATGCTTTCACTTTCATCATTATTAATCTACACCCCCTTCGATCAGAGTTGGAAATTGGGTTCCAATTCTCCTTTCTTGCTAACGTAGGTTTCCTTCGAGTTATCTCGTTCTTCTCGAAGTTGTATGTTGCATAGTGCAGGCATGAAGGCACGTGGTTGCTGGCCTTCACGATGGTTTTGANCCCCCTTCGATCAGAGTTGGAAGTTGGGTTCCAATTCTCCTTTCTTGCTAACGTAGGTTTCCTTCGAGTCATCTCGTTCTTCTCGAAGTTGTATGTTGCATAGTGCAGGCATGGAGGCACGTGGTTGCTGGCCTTCACGATGGTTTTGAGGCACTATTCGGTGTAGATACTTCAGTCGTTCTTCGCGGTTTTGTTCACTTTCCTTCTGTATGTTTTTTTCGGATCCAGCAGCCTAGAAAACGATATCGACAACACCACACATCATCAGCGGATGGTTTATTAACAGCATTTCCACCNTCATTCTTCGCGGTTTTGTTCACATTCCTTCTGTATGTTTTTTTCGGATCCTGCAGCCTAGAAAACGATATCGACAACACCACACATCATCAGAGGATGGTTTATTAACAGCATTTCCACGAGAATAGTCCCTTCTTGGGCCCCGCCGTTCATCACCTTCACAGGTACCCACGCGGACATCACGCATCACGCCGTGCCTCGCCTTCCAACTCTCGGACGTGTTGCTTCCCAACGATGTCACCCCTTTCATTCACTTTTCACCGTCCTCGACTACTCGCGCTTGCGATTGGTCCCCCACGCCCACTGGGGGCGGGGCGGGGGGGGGGCGGTACCCTAGAATATCTATCTTTGACGATACCCAACAACTTCACGGAGCTCGCCCGTCGGTGGCACACACTGTCTTCTTCCTTGCCAAATCTCACGAAAGAAGACCGCTTTTTTTTGCTCCCCGGGTAGTAGTTAGTGTGGTGGGCGATCACGACGGCACAGTAGTATAGTACGGGCCCGGAGATGAGAAACAACGTCACAATCGGGTTGAGGATCAATCCCCTATTTTAGGTCGAAGGACTTGCCGAAGTCGTCCATTTTCTTACAAGGCATTTCTTGTTCCTTTGGAACTGTCGCATCCCCCTCATTCTCTTTATTTTTATGTTCTTATATCTGGCTAAAATACAACAGCACACCACCTTTATGCAGCATCAACCAGAAAGCCCTTGAGGGAGGCGGCGGAGAGTGCCATCAAGACAGCATGCGGTGGTCCGTGATGTGAGGTGGTACAGCAGTACAGCACAACCCGCGAAAATAACCATCCCCGCCCCCCTACAAAAAAAATGCACTACTGTTCACAGCTAGGTAGGGGGGTGGGGGCACGAAAGGAGCAGCTGCGGGACGTTTCTTATTGGACACGCTCGCCCAGCTACCCCTTACTTCTTATGTCTGAAGGGTATCGCACCATCATGTTTCTTATTGGGACGTTTCTGATGTTGTGGCCGAGATTGAGCTGTGTTGCCATCCCCGCCATTTTTCTTGCATCATTTTTCTTACCTGCGGGCCCGTACTGTAGTGAATACAGCGACGACCAGGGTCTCCTTCAAATGATGAGCGTATAGACTATTCTGTGACGTCAGTCCGCACTTTGTATTTCTTGAAGGATTTCATCATTAGTCTAGAGAGGAGGACATAATATCTCTCGAACGGACGGGTAGTCTTTCTGTGAGATTGATTATATTTACTTTGAAGTTGAATCAAGACGGATTGCTGCTGCTGCTTGTTGACTGTGTATCTAAAATGGTGGGCTCAAGCTGTGCTGCTCGGAGAACATTTTCTCAGCAATTGATTAGCAGCCAAGCCTACAACAAACAACATAGACTAAACCAGCAGGACGAAAAAAATCTTGATATTTTTGTAAATCCAGAAATAATCATGCTCATCACTTGTATTTTTGATCTTACATATGCATACACATACATCCATACAGAGACGAATACAATAATAACAACTTCTCTGCCGACAGGTCAGGTATCCTCATGATGGCGAGCTAGACTTACCTACGTATACAAATAAACCGTTCAGTTCTCTTGTGCTTCTAGGTATGATTGCCTTGTTTCCGAATGCTGAGGGAGTGGCTACAAGATATCCTCGCCCCAATCAATCCGAACGGGTCCGCTTCCCTTGTGAACCTCAGTCTAGACGTCTACTTGCAGACTATGTAGGACACTCTGCTGCAAACAATCATGGATATCATTCTTGTACGGAAAAACACACAAGACCCGAGAGATTCGCACGGACATCATATCACGAGTTTTCAGCCCACTTGTTCACCTACTACTTCCATCGCTGGAATAGTGCACTAAAAAACGAGGGTCGAAAGACACCACGGTCCCCAGTAGACATGTCGCATACTACCACGTCGCGAGCGAGAGAAACGAGGCGTTGCTCTTGCCGTCCTGGGCCGCTTATTTACGGTGCCCATGGGCGGTGAATACCATCGTTAACACCAGAAATTCCACGTAACGCCCTTCGACAGGAAGGTCATTAGAGAAGTGTTTCGATCAGAAGGTATTCCGGTAACGAGATTCCTGCAGTGCTACAGCAGTAGTGTCATCACCGTTCGCCGTGGACATGTGCAATTCGGAACCGGACACGTTGTTCATAATATTCATTTCCGAGACTGAGAGGTACCAGTGTGAGCCGCATCTCGCCCAACGGCCTGCATGTTCATCTTCGACCGGGTGATGAGCCACGGTTGGCTGGATGACGTCGGGGTTGCGCCAGGCCTTGATACCTCCTCCAATTTAAGGCGACCTGCTGGATAATGGCAACCTGCGCGTTCGCCAGCGCCGTCGTCTACACCTGCCCCGCTCCTGCCGGTGGTTCAACCGTCTCCGTTTCGCCCACCTCGCCGCCCTCCATATCGGCATGCGCACCAGCCCTGCTTCGGCCCAGGTGAATCCAGGCCCTGGTGAGTATTGATGCCCTGGATCTCCGGCTGCAGCTGTTGGGTGGCGCCATCCGGGTTCGCTATCGCGTCGGGCAAGTGTAGTCGATTACCTCGTTTCGGCGAATCTCGGTGATGACAGCACTGTCGATTCCGCGGTCACCTCCGGTCCGCGGAGAAGACCGTGCACGCGACGGGCGCCCCACTCCCCGATCGGGCGTACGAGCTAGCGCCCGTGATTCTCTCTCCTCAGATGCACAGGCATGCAAATGCGGGTTTTGGTCTCTCCCCCACGTCGTCATCGACATACGTTCGTAGTTGCGCACATTTATACGTACCACTCAGTGACGTGCCCAGGATATGGCACGCCTGACGTCCGTCCTCTACCCTCTACCCGTCGGCCATGCCCGAGGCGATTCCCCGTGACACAGGACCCCGGGTTCTCAGCATAGGTCGGCTTCTAAGTGGCTCAGCACAAGAACTGAATCAAAACACCCCTCCGACTGGCGTCTCCTGACCCTCACCAACGACTAGAAGCCTTCTGTGCATCACCGAGCTCCTTGTCTCTGCACAAATCTCTCTGGCACGTTAGACTCTCTGCTTGAATACTAAACTTCGACAGAGTGGTCGACTCCAACTCTTCTCTCGTTCGGGGGACCAGTACATCTGTACGTAATACGCTTCCATGCATCCCAACAAAACCGCCATGGCACTTCGAATGATGCAATGAACAACGGTTTGTTTGTCTCCTTCGCCTTCACCTGGCCCACTCTGTGCCTCCATGGTACCCGGTATCCAGCTAGCGGAAAGGTTAGCTGGCGATGACAACGCGGGAAGAAACACTGCCTACTACGTTGAGCGCACGACCCATTCGACCCCCCGACCACTGCTAACTTCATCATCCACCCTTGCCCCCACACCCCAAACTGAAATACAAGCTACTTCTCGCCGAGATGACGACGCAGCCAATCAAGATCGGCCACGGCAACATGGCGGATACGACTATCCTTCGACGTAATCAACAGCAGCCACACCGGGAGACTGCGAAACCGGTCAGCAAGAAATCCACCATCACCGGCGCCGCCGGCGCCACTGCCGCGCGCCTTGCCACGGCAGCCCTCGCCCTCACCGCTGCTAGCGCGGCCACCTACGAGGTTTCCCCTGATGGCGATCCCATGACGCTGACCGCAGCGCTAGAGGTGGCCGGTGCAGGCGACACCATATCTTTGGGGGACGGGATCTACCGCGAGCCGCTCGTGACGATGAACGCCGGTGTGGAGGGCAACCCTCTCGTGATCGAGGGTGGCAGAGACGCGGTCATCAACTACTACACCGGCGACAAGAGTATTATGTGGTCCCAGAAGGTCGTCGACATTCGCCACTCGTGGATCACTCTGCGGGTGAGAGGCAACGATATTTGGTAGAGAAGAATAAGAGACAAGACGTGTGGGTGAGGGCGTGCGTGTTGTGGACCGCACGATACCTGCTGCCAGAACGTATTCCAAGGTTAGGTCGTAGCCTGGCCGCTGCCGTTTCAGTCCATCTGCGGGAATCGACTGGTTCTCCGGTAGGAGATGTTCAGGAAGAAACACCCGTATAAGAACAATTTCCGTCGGAGGGTTTGGGGCGCAGCCGCTAAGGGTTCCATGATCCTCCACCTGAGTAGGTGCTCGTCCCAACGATGCCAGTAACTTCTCAGGAATCACTCGGGGTTGGTTGCACGCATGTTTTTGTTCTGGTTGTTAGGCGAAGGCAAACGCCCACAAAAAGCGGACCTGCCGCCGAAATCGATAACCCCCCAGCAAACTTGGAGTTCCGGCTTTGAGACAATTCCCGTAAGTTCTTGGAGAAAGGACACAACGAGCTGTTCGCATTCTTCCTTGTTTTGGGGGGGAGAAGGCATACCCATTTAGCTCTGTTACGGCGGAGTGGATGACGATGATGGCACCAGAACAGCGTCGGGCAGATGTCTATCGCATACGTACCGAATACGCAACTGTTATAGGTCGTAGCCTGGCCGCTGCCGTTTCAGTCCATCTGCGGGAATCGACTGGTTCTCCGGTAGGAGATGTTCAGGAAGAAACACCCGTATCAGAACAATTTCCGTCGGAGGGTTTGGGGCGCAGCCGCTAAGGGTTCCATGATCCTCCACCTGAATAGGTGCTCGTCCCAACGATGCCAGTAACTTCTCAGGAATCACTCGGGGTTGGTTGCACGCATGTTTTTGTTCTGGTTGTTAGGCGAAGGCAAACGCCCACAAAAAGCGGACCTGCCGCCGAAATCGATAACCCCCCAGCAAACTTGGAGTTCCGGCTTTGAGACAATTCCCGTAAGTTCTTGGAGAAAGGACACAACGAGCTGTTCGCATTCTTCCTTGTTTTGGGGGGGAGAAGGCATACCCATTTAGCTCTGTTACGGCGGAGTGGATGACGATGATGGCACCAGAACAGCGTCGGGCAGATGTCTATCGCATACGTACCGAATACGCAACTGTTTCACAACTACTTACCGCATGACCTTCATGTCGATACATCTGGTGGCTTGTGGCGGTTTTCGACATTCGGCGAATACCACTACAGCGTTCATGATGTACATACGATGCAGCGGCTTTTCCCGCTTCGCATCGTAACAGCGGGCAGATCATGCTTCCATTGTTGACACCGATGCTCGAAATACAAGCAAAGAGCTAACATCACGTGCGGATCGTATCTTGTTGCCCCTTCCAACCAGGGGTTTACCGTNGTTGACACCAATGCTCGAAATACAAGCAAAGAGCTAACATCACGTGCGGTGCGAATCTTGTTGCCCCTTCCAACCAGGGGTTTACCGTCGACTGTCAGATAGACGACGCCGATGACGAGGAATCGTTCGTGGACAAATGTATCTTCGTGGAGGGTCAGGCCGCGCCCGAGGACGTCGAGTACGACGGTCGCACTGTTGAGACCGCCTTGATTGGCACGGTGATCGACAGCATGAAAATCCAGAACTGCGGGTGCGTGCTTGCGTGCGTATTGCACTCAGAGGGGGTTGGCACTCACCGGTAATTTTCCAAAGATGACCATTNAGAGGGGGTTGGCACTCACCGGTAATTTTCCAAACATGACCAGTACAATGCTCGTGGGTAGTGAAGCCTTTGTTTTACTCTTCTTCTTCTTCTTCTTCTTCTTCTTGTTCTTCTCCTTCTTCTTCTTGTCCTCCTTGCGTTACTGCGGCGGCTGTGTGTGCGCATTTG